ATAGATTAAATAGCACAAATGTCAATTATAGATTAAACACAGAGATTCAATGTACAACACAGTCAATGAAGTCAGTGATACTGTAATAACTTTGTGTAGTGCCATGTGGGTACTAGAAATATTGGGAAACCCTATCAGAGATTGTATAAATGTCTGATCACTATACTGTAGGTAAGAAGCTCCTATAAAATAACATAGAATATCAAATGGAATTGAAAAAATTTTTAAAAAAGAATTAACCCAAAAGCCACAGGACTTACTTTTATAATGTTACTCGCAGAAGTGTTTTTCTTGCTCTTTCAGAGACTCTGTGCCTCATAAATGCCCCGTATTCCCATGTGTGTGTGTATGTGTCTGTGTGTGCATGTCTGTGTCTGTGTGTGTCTGTGTGTGTCTGTGTGTGTGCATGTCCATCAGCCTACACATTCACAGCAAGCTGTTCTGGGACCCCCATCTTCTGTGTCATGTCATCTATCCTTGGTGCTCTGAGCTTGATGGCAAGTCAATGACTGTCACAAAGTGAACCTTTCTGCTCTGCTGTTGTGTCTATATGCCTCTTGAACCCACTGTCCCACATGCACATGTGCACCCACTGCCTGTCATGGACACCGAGCTGTGTGGGTCTGGGCTGCACTGTTAGGTTCAGCAGAGCCTCTGGGTAGATTCAGCTGATGTAGGTTGAAAATACAAAGATTAATAGAATTTGGCCCAAGAGTGATTTAAATGGTCTACGGTTGGTTTTACAGAATTTTTTTTTCTTTACAAAGCACTTTTCTAACTCAGATACTTTGGAGGCGAATATAGAATGAGGAACACATTGAGGTTTCCTGACAGAAACTGTTAACAGGAAGAAAATAACAGAAAGGAAACCAGCTCAAACCTCCAACTGCACCAGCAGTTTATCAAAGTTAGTGAATTTTGTGCAACCCCTTTTTATGTTGAAGATGGAATAAAATACATATTTTTAGCATTATATACATTATCATTTCAATAAATACATATATGCAAATGTAGAAAGGCAAAATAGCAGTTAGAGATTAAACACAAGGATGTCACTTAAAGCACAGTCAATAAAGTCAATACTATTTGAGTAACTATATGTGGTGCCTGGTGGGTACTGGATATATTGGGCCATCACATCACAAATTGCATAACTGTCAGCACATTCTGTTGTAGGCTATGATCTCATTGAAAATATTATATATAATGTCAACTGGAATTGAAAAAAGAAAAAGGGAATTTTTACAAATTCCAAGGAGGCTAATTCAAGGGTGTGGGGCAGAGGGCAGCAAGCAGGAGACATGGCTGAATCCAGATCTGTGCCCACAATTTTCACCTTTAGTGTAAAAATTCAGAACATTCTGTAGGTTTATTAGAAACTCCCATTGATAACTTCAACTTAATTTTCACTGGTGGTTCATATCTCAGTAAAAAACCTGGGGGCTGCTAACTAGGGTGTATTATAAAAATCAGACTTGCTCAAGGGCCTTTCCAGTTCTTCGCAGAGATTTCAACTCTGTGTATTGTAAATATTCCATGACACCTTGGGGTGTGTGTTTTTAATCAACCTGGAAATCCCCACCAAGAATTTGGGTTCCTCTGACTCTGGGTGGTGTCTCCTATACGTGGTGCTGGGCACATGATGTCAACTCCATGGCCTCTATAACTGAGAGCATTTATCTTCAGGAATTGGGTTCATACATCTCTGGTGCCCATTGTCCACAATATGTGTGTCCTGATGCTGTCACGCATGGATACTGATCTTTGTGGGGTTGGGCTGATTGTTGAGTATAGGAGAACATCTGTTTAGATTCAGTTGACATGGGTCAGAGGTTTGATGATTCATGGGTATTGGGCACAAACATATCTGAAAGAGACTCTGACATTTGTCTATATCAGGATACTTTCAGACTTTACAGCAGGCTTGTGTGACTCAGAGACTTCAGAGGTGAGCTCAGAATCAGGAATCCAGACAGTTTCCCTTTGGGGAACAGATACAGGAAAAGGAAATCCATCAAGGAACCAGCTCAAACCTCCAACTGCACTTGCTCCTTTTTTGGTCTCTGTGTTCAGGGACCCTGAGTGTCCCCAGGTTGTCACAGCATCAGCCATGTCCAAGAGGCTACATCTGGTAACAGTGAGCATCTGTGCCTTTCCCTCACAAGTGGTTCCAATGGCCCCCTGACCCTAATCCAGGGGAGAGTGGGTGCATTCATTGAAGTTTTAGAACCCATATTCTGTAATGAGAGCATGAACACATATCTTCATCTAGTGTTACCCACACTCCAGGGCTGTATATGCCTGTGGACTCAGATTCCTCAGCAAAATGGAGATGCTTGTGCATCCTCTGTGATATGGTCCTAAATCAGCTGAGGTGAGTCAGGTCCAACATGAAGTGTCACAGGCACAGGCTGCTAAAGACTGTGTTCAGTCCAGGATCCACACAGTCCTTGTTCTGTCCACCCGTTATTAAGGGAAGTTCTCTCTTTCCCATTGTTCTACGATATAAACTCACTCAGGGCCCCAGGTCTGCTTTCCCATAATGCAGCCACAGAGCCCAGAATGTCCTCATCTGGCTCCAAGACAGAAACAGACCTGGGAGACACTTCAAAAACCCAACAGTGTGTGTCTTGCTGGCACTTTCATATCCCTTAACCATACTGAAGGGAATCAAAATATAATCAGGGTCCCTTGACACTCAGATGTTCCCAGACATACTGGGAACCAAAGGACTAAATAATTCCTTCACTTCTGTGCTGTCTTACCAGGGCTAATGGGGTCAAATAAAGCCAGGACCCCATTATTTAGGGGAAAAATTAGAAAATTAGGTAAGGCTATAAGTTAATATCACCCCTCATTCTTTTATAAAAGTCATTCCAGTATTGAGTATAAAAACACCTCAAAACACCCATGAACTTTCAGAAATATGAATGCACACACACTCACTAACACAACATTGCAAATGCAGGTAAAGCACACAGTAACACCCACCCACACACTGTTGTGAACATTAACAGACACACTAACACAGAGATGTACATGCAAATAGAAGAATAGGAGGGAAGGCCAATGAGAAAGCATTTTATGAGAAAGGAGAGAAATTACAGGCTAATTCAAGAACCCAGTTTCCAGCCTCCATCTCCTCCTGCTCAACAGATAGGCCTCTAGTGTCCATGTGTCCTGAGTGGCTCCTGCAGCCCAGCCCCACTCCTTCACCCTTAGGAGAAACTTTGCTGTTGGGCCTGCCACTTATTCACCCCCTGTGTATAACACAGTAACCCAGGGCTGTGTCTTTGGTGGTCACAGAGCTCACTTTTAATGAGAGCTGGGACCCGTATGTGTCCGTGGTGTCAAAATTTTGTTGTATAAGGAACTTTGGGGTGTGCACTGCTGCTGGATTACACGCACTCCATCTTTGCAATTATCTCAGATATTCAATAAAGTTTAGTCTGACTCATGCAGCTCAACTGAGGCAGGAGGCCCCGGTACAAGGAGGGCACTTGGAGTAAGGGAAGCCTCGCTTTTCAGCTTCTTTTCACTGACTTTCTGAGATGCTTAGAAGTCAGCTTATCTCAAGGAGAATTCCCCAAACATGTTTTATACAGGATGCACTCTGATCCTCAGGCTCACATCCAGCACATAAAGGAAACACAGGTTTCTTAGTGGGCTGCTCTCAACCGGGGACCCAGATCTCATTGACCTGTGGGAAGGCCTTGGTTCTCTGAGCTGGGGGAGACTCAGAAAAGAGACAAAAACATACATGTGCACACACAGAGCACAAATAACATGGTCACAAACACATGCAAACAAGTGAATAAATGGGTGCACATACATGCACAGACTCAAAATCTCCCACACAACATCCATAACCTCAGAAATAAAGCCTTTTTCCAGGTTCCTGAGGAGCAACTGAGGCCCTTATCCTCAGGACACTAGGATGTTTGAACCTGGACACTCAAGGACATCCAAGTTCCAGTTACTGGGATGGGCGAGTGTTCTCTTATATGACGGACTCTGCATTATGATTAAGTTAGAGATAACTGAGTAAAAGGCCTCAACATGTGGAGATTTTCCAGAATTCTATAGCTTGGATATAAACAATCATGTCACTTATTCTAAAGTAAATGGAAGAAAATTACAGCCAAAAATACTGTGATTTTTTAAACCAGATATTCGGGTGGGTTTCCACATACACAAGGGAGTGAGGGAGAAAAAAAGTCATGTGTGGAAAGGAGGGTAGTAACCTGAAGGGTGGAGGACATGGGGGATGATCACAACTCCTGTGGGGTGGGGTTTGCTTGTCAGAAGGAGGAGACTTGTGAAAATATTGTGTGCATTTGTGGGGGAGACAGTGAACATAGCACACAGAGGCCTCAGAAAAGCAGGATCTCTCTTTGTTTTATTTGTCTTCAACAACAGGGAAGGTGAAAGCACTCAGAATTGTTCATTATCAAGGAAGAAAAAGGAGGCACAATAACATGGTGAAGAAAATCTCCCCAGGCACAAGGTGGAATCTCATCTGCAAACAGACTCTACTTCTTCCTTTGCTCTCTACACTGGAATGTGGGAAATGAGAGCCACAAAGAAGGAAGTTTCCCTGGATGCAGCTGAGAGCCCTGAGAGGAAATCCCTGCTTCCAAGAGGAGGTCCCTTTCTTCACCTATACCCACACCTGCCCCTGGGGTTGGTCTCTGTTCTCAGGGTTCTGGAACACATCCTGGTGTACTGAGCTCCCCTTGGTGTCCTGCTATCTCCCTCTATCCCAGCCTTCATGCCTCCTGCAGAGAGGTTTGTGTCAGGGCAGGCGCTGACTCCCTCTCTGTGTCACATGCACAGATATACATGCTTGTGTCCTCTTCTCTCAGGTAGCTCATTTCCATTTTAGGCTGTTCCTATTTCCTGCAGTCATTAAGCTTCTGCCCTAGAACTTTTGTGCCTATCCAGTGCCAGCATTGTTAGGAATAACTTACTGTTGACTCAAGCCTTTGTCCTGCTGCCTGTCATGTGCGGTCCATATTGTAGCCGTTGAAGGTGTATCCAGAAGCCTTGCAGGAGACCTTCACTAAGGCCCCAGGCTTCCTTACCTCTACTCCAGACTGCACCAGCTTCACCTGGGTGTGGACACCTGTGGAGAGAAGATGGGGTGCGTAGAAGTTACCCTTGCCTGTTGCTGATGTCCTGCTCAATCAAAGACCTGGTAAATCCCTTTCCTGAAAACACTACCAGCAGGAAGAGAATCGGGCTGTTCCAATTCATGATGCCTGTGCTCTCAGGACTTCTGTAGGAGATGGTGTAGCTGTGGGTAATTCTCTCAGGGTACAAAAAGACCCATATTTAAAGTAATCTACTTCTCCTAATTTACATATGCTTCAAGCAGTGTGGTTCATAGCTGAAGTCTTGACCACCACAATAAAGATGATAGAGAGCACCAGTACACCGCTCAGTCAAAGTCTAATGGACAAATTCCTATTCTGTGCTGCAGGGCATGTGTCCCCTGTCAGGTCCATGAGCTCTGGGCAGACATAATTCTTCCCACTGACAAACTAGTCCACATAGGACACACTCCTCTTTGTCAATCCACCTTTTAATGGCACAATGTACACCTGGACTAGCCTGGCCTTGATTCCTGCACATCATATTCCTGGATCTGTGTCTCTCCAAACGTGGTGCCAAGTAAGTTAATAAACCATTCCTGTGTTCAGCTCCTTACAATTCAGATGTAAAGAAGACACAAGAACGCTCTTAATAACTGTGGTTCTCATGTCTTCTTGAGGTTAGTAAATGCTCTGATGGAACAGGGTATTTAAGGTCACTTCATGTCCAATTCTTATTTTAGGTTTTACATGAAAAAGGAAAACCCAATTAATCACAGGAAATCTCTCCCCAGAGCCCTCTGCTCCTGCTCCTGGGCAGCAGCCCAGAGCTCATGGGTCCCATGTGTCTCCAGCTGCCCAGCCTGCATCCTACACCAAAGTGCTTTGTCTGGACTCACAGGGCAAGGATATCTCCACACCTCTAGTCCAGTGTTAAATTTCATGTCCTGACTTTAGAATGAATGCTCTTTCAGGGACACCATGTGCTTTGACAACTCTAGACAGACAGAGTTGGCCTTAGTAAACTCCAGTGACTTGTGCAGAGCCCCAAAACCAGGGCTCCATGAGCCAACATGAATCCTCTTCCCCGGAGCTCCCAGATGCACTGATACAGCCAACACTTCTGAGTCCAAAAGCTATCAGAAATTTTAGAGGCCTCTGATGTGCTCAGGTCCCTCTGGTAGAAGGGCTCACCTAAGTATCCATGCATGTGGGCCTATTCCCTCTGCACATCTGTTATTAAATAACACACACACACACACACACACACACACACACACACACACACACACACACAGGAGTGATGATCTTTTCAAGGCAATCTCCTGTTCTCCATTCTCCCCTGTTCCAACCATATGGACAGTGCTGTCACATGGATATATGGCCTGAGCATGATTTTCTAGGTGAGTGAGGTCAGCTCCGTGAGGGTTTCCCTTGTTTTTCATCCTTTCTTGATTCTCCATTTTGATGTTTACCTTCTTTACTACCACCTGACATGTGGACCTCAGATGCTTCATCCCACATGGAGACAGACCCACAGCTCAGCCACACACAGATGCTCCTCTTAGTGGCTGCAGAAACCACCATCTCCTCCTGCATCCGTTTGTTCCACCCTCTGGTGAAACCTCCTGCATCGCCTCTGCCTCCGCTCTCATGGACCTTCCAGCACTGATGAAGGTGTCCCAGGCAGGAATGCAAACATCATTGCTCATTATCAGCCTCACTTTCAAAGATGTTCTTCTGTAGGTTTTGTCATTGAAGAGATGCTGTGATATTTCCCAAGTGAACTCCATGCCCTTGAAACTTAACAGCTCAGCAGCCACAGAGGTCTTGCTTAGTTCTAGAAATAGAAGAGAGGGTTGGTTTCAGCTGTCGCTTTCTAAACAATATCACAGGTGGATCTACCAAGGAAAGCATGAAGAAAATTTGCATTTACCCAGGAACTTTGACCTGTGATGGGATTCTCAGGCATGTGTCAGTTATGTGTGCTACAAAGTCACTGCAGACATTACATTTTTTTCCCATATGTAGATGTTGTTTTAATGCATTATCACACTGGGAAACTGCATCATGGAAAGTTCATTTCTAAGGATATCTTCATAGTAATATGATAACTCAAACACATATTAATCATTTCAGTAAATATATGTGATGAATATGTGCACTATGCAATCAGAAAGGACCAGCACTTTGTGACCCCACAGAGGTGAGACTGCTAAGTCTGGGCAGCCCATGGACACAGGTAACACAATGGTTCCTGCAGCACTGGAAGTAGAACTTGAGAAGGTGGTGTTTCTCGGCTGTAAGTTTCCACCTTTAGGCCTAGTCAGGGCTGAGGGTGTGCTGTAGACTTGAGCCTGAATGCATTGTTCTCACAATGTGTTGTACATTCAAGATTTTGTGGCAGACACATCACATGTGAAAAGTTCTTCCTGTGAGAAGGTGAGAGGAGAGGAGTTGTGTTAAAATACAGTGCAGGCAGCCATTCCAGAGAAACCAACTGACACCTCTTCTTGTCCAGTTTCTGAGAGGTTTGGACCTTTGCTCTGCACCCCTAATGCTGCCTTCCAAACCACTGCTTGTACAGCTAACAGAGACTATGTATCCTGAATAGAGGATTAAAACTTCCAGACTATCTTTGGAATTCATTCCTCAGTAAGCAGCTAAAGAATGCCATAGCTTGTCTGCAATGATTGAAGTTTCTCCCCTCTAGGCCTGTACCTGCATCCCTCCCTTTCCTACAAACACCCATTTCCTTCACCCTTAGTCAGAGCAGTACTGGGGCTTCTGCTTGAACCCCTGCTTCACATATAGCCCTTCATTTTAATCTCTGGTAAACATTGGTTGCCACTCATAGTCTTTATATTATTTTTACAGTGTCATTACAATAATCAAAAAGAATCCTGCTGTAAGCCATTGCATGAATGAACCTTGAGAATATCATGCTGAGTGAAAGGATGCAGGTACAGCTGGGCAAACACCAAATGGCCCCATTTATGTCAGATCTGTCAGACACTCCAGGAGGAGAAGGAGAGGACAGTGTGGTGGTTGCCCAAAGTTGTTGGGAGGAGCACAGTGGAGCTGCTTTCCCAGGGAAGAAATATTCTGCTCTGCAGGGAGGTTTGGTTCCAGACGTTGGCTGCCCATCAATGCACCTGAGGTTAACAAGCAGCATGTGCTTTTAATTTGTATAAAGGTTAGGGCTAATTTAGATTACAAAGACATCTCAAAAGGACAAAAAGGGCTTCAACTCCAACGTGGCGACATAAAGAGCTACAAGGTGTTCATTCCTTGTCGGAATGCAGAAATTGTTTTAAAAGTCCTATTATGAATGGAGATGACTCTATTGGAACACCATCGATGAATAGCATTTGCTCCAGAAAAGATTCTAACAGTGGGCACACCTAGACATCTTAAACAAAGGTACACACCCTCCATTCCCTGTCCTACTGTAGCAAATACATTCAAGACAGTGTGTTGAAGAGCACAGAGTCTGCTGCCAGCTCCTGGTCACAGGACCATGTTTTCAGAAGGGAAGTTGCCATTGACCCTCATTCAGACCCAAGCTGTTTGCTGCAGAAGCTGAGCTCCAGGTAGATACTACTAGAAAATAGTACTCCTTTTGCCCATCCCAACCAAACCTTGGGATGTAATTCCTGTCCTGGGGACAACACCACTGGGTCCCTGGTTGTCTGACAGCATCACCCTGATATTCCCAGCAGGGTACACCCACCAGAATAGGTGGGCCATTGTGATAAAAGCTGCCATGCCCCCAGTTCTCTGCACTCAGCTTCTTACTGAGCGGTGAAGCCATTTTTGTCTCCAGAAGCTGCTGAATAGTCTGCCTCAGAGTTCTGTCAGGAAAAGGGCTGGAAATCATCCATCAGATAGTTTTCCATGTGTATTCCATACCCCTTTGTTTTCTCTGAGGCTGGCTGCAACCATGTTGAGTGATTGGTGAGACCCACTTTCAATGATGTCTGTATCTGCTGATTGTTATTTTCACTACTGAGTAGAATTGGATTTATAGATGTTCACTAATTTGCTTACTTTAAAACTAAAAGAACTTCTGTAGAAGTTGTATCTTCTAACATACACAAAGAGGCTTAAAGTTTTCCATATATATTTAGAGAAACATGGAATTTGTTCTTCGTGAGCAAACACTCCTAGAGGCAATTAAATGTCACAAGTTAAGTATAATTTTGTAAAAAAAAAAAAAAATGTGATGTGCTTAGTTAAGAAGGAATAAAATGCTGTAATTGTGATATCTCAGCGGATTGAGTGCTGGATGATGAACCAAAGGGTCACCAGTTTGATTCCCCTGTAGGGCATATGGCTGGATAGCAGGCCTGGTCTCCAGCAGGGGCAGCACGAATGCAACCAAGCATTGAAATTTCTCTTCCTCTCTTTATCCCTCCCTTCCCCTCTATAAAAGTAAATAAATAAATAATATTTTAAAAATTTAAAAATGAAGGAATAACAGGACATAGAGTAACCTGATGAAGGAGAGGTCTCGGTGCTGATAATTCATCAGTAAATGTTCATTGTCACTTTTTCATTTATTTTCTGCAGTGAAAATCTGAGAAATTAGATTCACAGAGAAGGGGGAAGATTTGTCCCTGGATGCATCTTAGAGCTCTGAAAGGAAATGCTTTCTCCTAAGGGGAAGACCCTTCCTTCCCGACCCAGGTCCACACTTGCCCCTTGGGTTGAGCTTTTCTTCTGTGGGACCTGTACGCCCCCTGGTGTCCTGAGCACTTCCAGCAACCTAACCCTCCTTGTCTCCTGCAGGAGGTTTCTGTCTAGGCTCACACTGACTTCCTCTTACTGTGCTTCTTGCACAGTAATACATGGCTGTGTCTTCAGCTCTCAGGCTGTTCAGTGTCAAATAAACTAGGTTCTTGGAGGTGTCCTTGGTGATGCTGAGTCGGGATTTCAGCCTTGGGTTGTGGTACGTGCTTCCACCACTCCATATAGTACCAACCCACTCCAGCCCCTTCCCTGGAACCTGGCGAGTCCACTGAACACCATAGCTCGTTAAAGAGAATCCAGAGACAGTGCAGGTGAGGGAGAGGGTCTCTGAGGGCTTCACGAGTCCTGGGCCCGATTCCTGCAGCTGCACCTGGGACAGTATGCCTGGGAACAAGGAGAAACAGTTTATGTCAGTCATGTTGAGTCAACACCACCCCACAGAGTCATGCCTGGCAATGAGACACTCACCCTGGGGAGCTGTCCCCAGGAACAGGAGGAGACCCAGCAGTCTCATCTTCTTCTAGAACACAGCTCTATCTTCCCCAGAGAAATTAGTACCATGTAAGGGGAGACCTGTGAGTCCAACACAGCCCAGGGGAGGATTTGACCAAGAGTATGAGGGGAAATTTGCATATGAGGAAACATTTCCTGTATAAGTAAAGAGGGACTGAGGTCAGGCACCCTGTTTTTTCTTGGCTTTCTGTCAAGTCTTCCCTCCCCTCAAACTCACTTAACATGTAAGTCAGAGATGAGGAATCCTCTGGTTGATGAGACCCATAGTCTATACAATGCTAGACTAGATGAATGAGTGTTGAAATCTCATGCACCTTTCAAAGAGGTTTGAAAGGGATTACCACTGGTTCAGACAGTTTCTGACCCAGAACTCTAGTATATCCACAATTTTCAAAATTTTATGTTATAATTTTATGCAAATAATGTCTCTATTGGTAAAATAATTAAAAAATGAGGGACAGTCATTCTCAACATTTTGTTTCTTAATTTATGATCATACTTTGATCTGAGAAACTCCCTGCCACACACGAGCAGGCAGCATATATTTGATTCTTGATGTTGGAAGTTGTTTTTTGTTGGGTTTTTTGTTTGTTTGTTTGCTTGCTTTTTGCTTAGACTTCCTTGTGCAAACTGTTCCCTTATGCAAGCCGAGGGCACACTGCAGAGGCTCCAAACTTATCACATCAGTGTTGGTCCCATTTTCACATGGAGGCATGATTGAAAATAAAAGGAGAAAGTATTCCAGTGTACAATTCAGAACATTTAAGGGAAGGGAGATGAGGATGGGATAGGTGGAGAGGCGGAGGTGGAAAAATGAGACAACTGTAATAGAATAAGCATGATTTATAAATTTAAATAAATAAATAAATAAAACATTTAATATGGTGAAGAATTATGGCAGCAGAATACCTGATTCTTTTTCTCAGTCTATTGTTGTCAGAGATGTTGCGTTTCTGAGAGAGAGAAATGAGGAGAATTCCTAGCATTGACTTGCTCACAGGAAAAGGAACTTCAATGCTAGCAAGAAATGCTCACCCCCATCCTTTTTTGGCCCTGTTTCTGGTGATGATCAGTATGTTCAGAGGGTGCAAGTTTCCCACAGGCAACATAAGACATTCTTAATGTATCATATATATTTTATTCTGTTAGACTTATGATTTGGAAATATGCTCACATTTGTCTTTTTATTGGCTTAATGGAACTTTGTTGGGAGAAATTTATTTAATTTTATCAAAGTTAATATATCAATATTTTAGTAGATACTTTATTGGGGGATTTTTATATTAAAAACTCCACTGGAACTGTTCAGATTCCATTGCCTATGCTGATTGGTTTCAACAGCCGCAGGGACTAGAACAGGATATGGTACCAGGAGTGGAGGGCTGCTGGAGAAATATACACAGATCTGGGAGTGACATTGCAACAGGTAAATGAAAAATGGTGGACTAATTTTGTGCCACATGGCACAGGTATGCCTGATTTTCATTAATTGAGTGTTTCTAGAAATATGGCTCTAAATAACCCAGAAGTAAGGACAGGGCAGAATATAGATAGAATATATTTTCTTAGAAAGTATCTAAATAGTTATTGATAGGAATTTGTTAAAAATAGAAATATTTGAAATTCTCCCTGTAGAGATCAAGGGAAATAAGAAATATGTCATAGATAGTGCATTAGAAAAGAAATTTATTGTGCCTGACAATAACATTTTCACAGTGTTTCTGCTACATTTTGTAACAATGTCAAATGTCCAGGGGTTTAGTAGTTAGACACAGTTAAGGTCATGAGTCCTCTGTTACTTCCATGAATCATCAAAGTTGAGTAATCCATTTATGAAATTTTGCAACACTCACAAGGAACAGAGGACAACTCTGAGAGAAGGAGCTATGGTGATGTTTTGTCTGTATGAATGTACATAGTTTCTTTGCACCAAGACCTCTCTCTCAGTCCATGTTCTTCATCCTAAACTTCATCATCATCACCACCATAATCATCATTATCATCAACATGAACATCACTGTCTCCATTTCATCACCATCAACATCATCATGAAGATCATCATTAACATCATCACCATCTTCATCACTATTTGTTTACTTATATTTTTATTTACTCTGGTCATAGTTGTTATCCACATATAGTGATTTTGTCTCAAGTTTTGCACCTTTTTTCTCAGTTTCTGGTTGTTAAGTGAAATAGGTAGTCAGACACTCTTATTTTATGTTTAATAACTGATCGCTGATAGGAATCCCCTGACTCTTCTTCATCTGCCCCACACAATCCTGATATGAAAGCCTGGGTCTGCTATTTAAATGTCATTGGGAGATTGAAACCACACAATCCCCTGTTATTCAATTACCCTCTAACAATACTGCAACAAAATAAAAACCCTGAGACAATCTCATTTCCTGGCTCTGTCAAAGCATGTCTGACTTGCTGAAGAGCTTCCCCTATTCCTCCCAGAGATTTCAACTCTATGCAGAATAATCACTCCAAATTCCCTGGGGTGGGGAATTGTCATCAGTCTGGACACCCACACCAAGACGTCATACATCCTTCTGCCTCTGAGTCATGTAAGGCAGAGTCATGAAAACTACTCTAGGTGTGTGAGCATGATGCCGTCAGTGACTATCACTACATGGGGACCTTTCTCCTCTACTGTTGGATTCAAATTCCTCCAGCATGCACAAGTCCTGCTGCTGGCCAGTTTGGACACAGCTGTGTGGGCCTATGCTGCACTGCTGGGTCCTGTAGAGCCTCAGGGTAGACTGAACTGGCTTGAGTCTGAAGACATTAATGTTTCATTAGATTTGAACACAATATTGCCTGAAAAAGACAGTGTCTTTTCTACACTTGGGGACACATTATTCTGTTACAACAGAATTTTCTAACTCACAAATTTCATAGGTGAGCACAAAATTGGGAATGCAGACATGTTCCCTGTGAGAGATTGTTACAAGCAGAAAAGCTGCACAATAAACCAGCCCAAACTTCCAAGTGCATCTTCTCCAGGGAAGGTCTTTGTTTTCAGGATCCTGTGCACCCCGTGGTGGTCATGGCTCCTCCTGTTCTGAGGTTTGTGCCTGGCTGTAGGCTGACTTGTCCTCACTCTGCCTCTTGCATAATAATGCACAACCATTTCCTCAGCTCACATACTGTTCATGTGCAGTTTTAGCATGCTCTTGGCATTGACACAGAAGGTGGTAAATTTGGCCCTTCACAGAGGGGCACAATATGTATTACTCCCATCCACATTAATGTCTGAGATGCACTCCAGGCCTATATCAGGAGGCCAGAGGACCCAGCACATCCAGGAGCTATTGAAGGTGAATCCAGAGGCTGCTGGATAGTCTCAAGCCCCCCTCCCCAGGCTGACCAATCCTCCCCCGGACTCCATCACCTGCACCTGGAGCTCGACACTTGCCAATACAATCTGTACCTTACACTGGACATTCTGATTAGAAAACAATATCCCCTCCACGGTACCTCTCAAACATATCTACTCACATCCTCAGTGTCTCTCACTCTCCATATGTAACCTCCTGAACCAACATAAAGAGAAAACCAGCTAAGGCCAAAGTCCATGGTCAGTCATCTGTTCTGTCCTGAGCAGGGACAGTGAACATTTTGAAAACCTGCATTGGGTTTCTTTCCCAGAACTTCAGTTCAAGGAAAGGCTGCTTTTCATGAGCAGAGAGGCCCTAGGCGCATGTCCTCCTATACTGTAGGGAGATGTGGGGTCAGGCCATGGTATGAAAAACATGTTCCCATAGGGTGACCTGCCAAGGGCATATGTCTGATGAAATTTACTCCCATGTCATGCACAGTTTGGCTCAGTTGGTTAGAATGTCATAGTATAACTGAATGTTGGGAGTTCAATCTCAGAGTAGATGTATATAATTCCCTGTCTGGGAATGTACAGGAAACAATCTCCCTCTCTCTTATTTCCTATCTCTCTCCTTCACTCCCCCCCCCAACTTTCTTACTCCCTTCCTTTCTCTCTAAAATAGATGGAAAATGCTTCCTCTGGTGTGGATCATTGGAGATAGAAACATAAATTCTACAGAGAAGCACAGTGTTCCAATGTCATGTTTCTTCAGTGGAATTCAGTGGTGAATGCACAGCAAATTCACAGCCTCATTTTTGTTATTATTTTCTCAGCACTGTAATAAAACAAGTTTCAAACACAGTGGAGAGGATTATCAGGGTGACTAGATCTGTTTAGGTGAAGATGTCATTAAAGACTGTCCAGTAAGTTAATAAATTAAGGAATCTTTGTTGTGGAAAGCTTTCATGCTAGTAACACATACAAAAGAACAGAAAATTAAATAATATTGTAAGATATTAAGAACATCATGTTTCTTCACCTCTTGATTACATGTATATAACATCCTCTTCCTTGGGCTGGTAGATTATAGTTTCTTTAAAACTGTTCAGCTACAGTGGTTCAGCCTTATTTTTGCCACCAGCATCTGTGGCTTTCTGGACGTGTGACATAATTCCAATCAGGAATGCAAGAGACAGATTCTCCCCTGGTTCATTAGAAGTAAATTTCAGAAGCTTGGTCTCTTCCCTCTTTCATTCATTTTTATGTCTGCACATAACCTATGGGAATGCTCTTACCTTTTCCACATGAGATGGGTGTCACCTGTGCATAAATTCACATGCTGCATGGATCAAACTCATCGGAGATACTCCCAGATACACAGAACATGAAATTAAGCAAGCATGACAATGGTACTTGCATGTTTCTTTTTCTTCATGTTGTGGTTTTCCTCCTCATATAATAAGTTCAAGTTGTCTCATGTCACTTTCCTTAGAAATAGCTTCACAGAGTCAATTAGTCACTAATAAACTGATCTGTCCAAAAAGTTCACTTGGCTTTTCTATAAGATGGCTAGAGTAGAGCTCACTTGCCTTTAGTTTCATTCAAAGCAATTTCAGTAGGTTGTATTATGACACCTCTCATATCAGCATGCATTTAAATAAACATCACAATTG